TGTTTTGCTAAGAAACGCCTTGCAAACGGTGTCTCGTGGGCTGGCAGCAGCCCGCAGACGGAGAAATGCTGCTCTACACAGGCTGCCAGCACGGTCAGGTCAGGCTCCAAAGTAAGGATGGGCTCGCTACGTCACTGCAAGGCCAGTCGCTCCGCAATGGGAATGGAAGAGTCGCACTATGGGGTCAGGGCAGAGTATTTCAGTAACGAGTCTCAACCACTATTCACTGCTTCAGCAGAAGAAGATGCAAAACACAAGCAAGGACAGTAACTGAATAATCTCGGGAGATCTTCGGTTTTAAAACCGAGTGTGAGAAGGTTCCCTCCACTCTAACGAGTGTTTTCCGAAATCCCGTGATCCCTTGGACTGCCCTGAAGCCAGGCGTCCTGCACATTATTCACACCAGGCACGCCGGTGCGGCATCAGTCGGCGGATGCAGAGAGCTGGATGTCTGCCGGCTTCCAGCTGCACGACCACGTCCCTTCCTTGGGAAGTCCCATCCTTCGCCCCGGCTCCCATCTCCCTTCAGCTCCGCAAAGCTTATGTCGCCAAGGAGGCTCCAAGCAAGGAAGCTCACCCCGGATCAGGACCAGCGTAATGAAACTTCACTGATTGAAAAACCTGCCACTGTTTTCTAAAAGGAGATGATGAAAACAGGCGTTTTGTGTGCTGGGGGCAAGGCTTTTGCACAGCTTCGTCAAGGGCAAACCGCTCAGCTTGCGCCTGACCTAACGGGGAGGGCTGCGGCTCTCTCAGCCACCCCCCACACGGGGCCCACATCTGATACAACCACCTCAGGTGGGCGACAGCAGAGGCTCTCCTACCTCCTCTGGGCTGCTGGTTTTGTTGACACAACACCATCAAAGGCACCTTCCCCTCCGCTCACACGGGGAAACCCGATCCTCAAACTCCAGCGGCTCCCACTCACCCAGGGGACCTGGGCAAAGAACAGAGCCCAGAGGAACCCACGTGGGAGAGGGGGTTTTGGCACACTCGCTGCATCGCATCAAGGCTACCCAGGAGGTTGTAAGTGCAAACTTCAAGCTGAAGGTCTCTACTCGTTTTCAGGCTGAAGCAGGGAGGATCAGCTGCTCTGATGCGCCTACGTCTTGACACTGTGAACATGGACAGAGAGGATCAGAGCATCTAATGGAAGAGTTTGGCTTCCAAGCCTGTTTTTATCCTGAAATCCTGAAAAAGAAATGAGAAGCTTTCCCATCTACCCAGCAAAAGCGAATGCAGCATGACTGCAGAGAGGGAAAACCACCAGGAAACAAGTCTTGGGGAGTTTCACCCCCACCCCGGCGGAAGGGCGGACACAGGGCCAGCCGCACAGCCAGCCACTGCGCAGCAAACAGGAAAAGCGGAGCCGTGAGGCTCCTGAACTTCCCAGATATCGGGGCGGGTTATCACAGCCTGGCTAGTGAGAAAACACACTGCGTCAAGGAGGGGAGTGGGATCTCCTGCCTTCCCAGGTAGCTGTAGAAGATGGTAGCAAAGGGAGGGGGATCGTGCTTGGCCAAGGATGGTAAAGCAGAAACAACAGGGAGGATGTGCAGATCCTGTAGGACTTCAGCTAGCACTCCTCTTCCCGTAAGGACTTGGCCTTTGTATCATTATTCCTTACTTTAAGGCACAGTAAAAGGCTTGGTTTTAGAAAGAAAAGCTTTCCACCTCTGTCCCATAAGCCCCTGGGGCACGGGCAGAACTACTGGCATTTTTCTTTCCAATTTAAAAAAGTATTTCCCAGTTTAGTGCACGGGTCTGGCAGCCTGGGATCTGGCGCAGGGCTCCTGAGGAACATAAACTAATACAGGAAGGGAGAAAGTCTGCAGAAACAGACAGTTTGAAATAGCACAGGCAGGCCAGAAGGAAAGCTGCCTGCGGATACGCTCTCAGGCTGCCTGTAAGTTATCCTCCGCAGCCTGAGGATGACAGGAACAGGAGACAATGACGGTGAAGGGCCTGGGTCGGTGCTGATGTGCCTCTTCGGGGACCTGACAATAGTTTTCATTACACAGATGGAAAAGATCTCATCCAAAGTGTTACGCAGAAATGGGACAAACCTTCCCTGACACCGGCACAGCACATCCAGGGCCGAATCCTGGGTTACCCAGGCCAAAACCCTCACCACGAGAACCCCTCCAGCTCTTGCATTACCCATTACGTTAAGCCCCGGGAGTCTCCATTTCCAAATGGTTTTGGTTTCTTTCCTGGCTGTTTCAGCTGCATGAGAGCTCTTTTCTGGGGAGCACTAGAGGACTGTTGCCACCAAAGCCCCCCTGTCTGCACCCTCACCCCAAGAACAGCGTGTTGCAGCTTGAGTTATGGAGGAGTTGAGACTAACCCTTGCCTCTAGCTGGACAAACAGACTCCAGTGTAAACCACCTCCAGTCCTCCATCAGGTTCTCCTCTGTGCCGATAGGCTAAAAGTCAAAAGTGCCCAGATTAACGATGCAAATCAAGGCAAAGAACGAATCCCTGACACACAGGGAAAGGCACCTGCCTCCCAGGGACCACCTAACCTTGGATAACATCGCAGACATCCCACATAACAGGGGCCATGAATCATCACTCCCCTCCTGCTCCAGCAAGTGGGAGTGAAAGAGGTGGGAAGTAGCTCCAAAGCGGCCAGAAGAGCTCGAGGGAGAAGAGTTTAGAGGCAAAACATTCCTAAAATAGAAATCCTGCAGCCTTACTGCTGGATTCCCTGCTCGTAGGGCGTCAAGCCCCACCAGTATAAAGTGCTACATAAAAGCGAGGCATTAATTCTCTTGTTCTGCTCCAGCCTAATAAGTAGAAAGTCAATGCCATTGTTTTAGATCTAAGCAAAAAAATACTTTGAAACCTCAAAAATTAGGGTTTTTTGAGGCAATTATCTCCCTCCTCCGTCTCCGAGACTAAAGAAACATGGGCCAATTATGTCTTTGAAGGCTAAATATTTACTCCTGGATGAAGTGCAGCAGCTCAGGCAGAGATGAATTACCCAGCTCTGATGTCATCTAACGCCTGCAAGTAAGAAAACCCAAATGAAAACAAGGTAGAACGGAGAATAACAAAAAAGGGTGTTTTCTCCTGGAAAAGCCCTTCAGAGAGGGGAAAGGGATGAAGTTGTTTCAGCTCACCTGAGCCGTGTCCAAGGCATTTAGCGTGGCACTGGCATCGTGCTCCCGTTCCCTTCAGGCAGCCCTAAGCAGGTCTCATGAAACACGATGCCCAGGCTTAACGAGGGCACAAACAGAGCACAACCAAACCTCTCCGAGCTAGAACCAGCCTTATGGAAAAGGTGTAAGGAGCAAGACCTACCCTAAAGTCTGTAGGGCCAGGTGTGGGAACTCCACCTCCACGAGCAATTAGCCTGCACACACACAGAGCGTTAATCAATCAACGTCAGCACTTCTTTTTTAAAAAACAACCCTCCTGCCTTATTTACGTCTGCCTCACGAGGTTCAAAGCTCTCCGCTTTTGCCCCCTCCAGTCACTATTCTTTCCCAGGCAGCGGGTGCCAACCCTCTGGTTCAGGGCACCAAAAAACCCAGGCAGCTATGTGTAAGAAACCAGCACCCCACAAGCGTGGGGTGACTCATCTCCTCTGAAGAGCGAGGAACAAGAGCGCTCTCTGTTCGGGGAGACCGCCTGAAGTTTCAGTTGCGATCCCATCTCGCTCCATGCGCTCATGACAGCATGCAGAAATATGTCCTCGGGGGATCTTCCCATGGGACTTAACTCTGACACATATTCCCACAGGACTCGTTCTTTTAAAAGTGTTATTTGTTAGTAAGGCAGTGGGAATTTGACTTTGCGAAATACCAAGAAAGTGACTGAGCAGAGCTGGGTGCCGGCGGCTTGTTAACGCGACTGCAAGTCGTGCCCCGCATTCAATCTGACGGAAGAACTCGCAGGGCTGCAAGAATAGATGTCCTGGGTCAGAGCAGAGGTCTGCAGCGCCCAGTATCCTGTTTATGCTACCCATGGCCTCTTCTCCACCCCGAGCAGAGGGAGAGCGCTAGGGCTGGGAAGGAGGAAGAGCGAAGGCTGATTTCCACGCACGTACAGGCTGTGGTTTGTTTTCTTCCTCCAGTTTAGGTCCGTGACTGCTTAATTCTCACCTGTAGGCATCTTGCAGTGGATGCACAGATGTAAAAATCAAATCAAAATATTAAGAGTTGTGTGGACCGACACCCAGCCAGTGGTCATCAGGCACTGAGCTACATGTCAGCATTCCAAAGCAACATCTGACCGACTCCCAGATCGCACCACTACACAGAAAACATCTGGGCTTTGGAGGACTTCATATCAAAAGTGTCAGACCAGAAAACACAACTTTAAACACCAAGTAATCCACAATACCTAGAGCATACAAAGCAGGGTGAGAGTCAGCAAGGAGCAGATGCAGAACTCCTTCTCCTCTCCCGACTCTTCACTTTTGCCAGAATGGCTGACTTCATACTGACCACTCGCCCCCTCGCCAAGGGTTTCCCCCAGTTCTGCTTTTGACAGAGTTATTTTAGTCAAATTCAGAAATCTATGGGGAAACAAGCGTGCCGTGTGTGACGTTTTGTACCAAACCCAGTGTGGGAAATCATTTGTGGCGCTTTCCTGCCAGGCTCAGAGCATGTGGACTGCAGGAATGTACCTGTTTTCCCACGCTCTCCCGGCCGCTGTGGGTAGCCCGCACAGGCATGTCTCCTCCACTCCTCAAAATACCTGAAGTGGCAGCTACCAACGTTATTAAAAAAAATAAAATCTCAACACTGGGACAAAAATTCTTATCGATACAAGGCTCTCTCGACCGCAAGTGTCACTCATCCCGCGTGGCATGAACCAGCACTGAGCAGCTGCTCCGAAGAGAAACAGCTCAGCACCATGCTGCAAGCACAACACGCATGTTCTGCAGCCAAAAAACATGGATACAAGCTGAAAACCGGTCACATAATGATAAAACACGCAGGGAAATACAAAATCAGCCCAGCCAGCCCCGGGGACGAGGTAAGTTCTGATCAAGTGGCGGGGGAGTTGCACATCCTCCGCCTCTCACCGGATGCCAGGGGCCGGATCCACTCCTTGCTGTTCAGGTCAAGTCTCCAGAGGTCGTTGAAGGCGGCGTTACAACTGCTCTGCGTGCAGCCACCGAACACGTACATCGACTGGTTCGCGTCATAGTAACACGCACCTAGAAGAAAGCAGACACGCAGATTAGCCAATGCTCTGATCTGTGTGGTTCTGGGGGAAAAAAAAAGATCATTTTCCTTTCCTCCCTGGGTTTCAGATGGGAGAAGAGCAGCCAGGCTGCCCCGAGTTCAGTAAAACCCTGGGCCAGCTTAGGGGTATCCCTGACCGGTGTAAACCTCCAGCAAGAACCTTCCGAGACTATTATCCCCTCAAGCAGAGCTGCTCCTGAAAGCGCAAAGAAAGCTGCCTTAGAAGCCTGCAGTTAATGAGATTAGCCACGATTAACGCACTCGGCGCACTTACCTTCCCCAAGCCAGTCCATAGGGGTTGCCAAATTCGACCAAGAAACTGGTCTGTGTACCCAGACCCGCTTGCTTATTCTTTTTCCCAAAGCCAACAGTATTTCACCTTATTATAACACAGCACCGCTGAAACACACGGATCTTAGGCGAGCATCCCCTTTGCTTCTTATGGGAAAGGATTAGGCAGCAAGAGAATTGGGGAGGGAACACGACCTCAAAGATACCCAGGGAAATAAAGAGCTTTTGGCCCCAAATCAAACTCAGCAGCTATATGCAAGCCTTTAGCAGTTGGTGTCCCGTGGCACCCAGGCACCTCTGACAAGGAGGAAATCAGACATGAGAGAGAGCAGAGGACTTGCTCAGCTTATCTGCCTTGGAGGATGAGCAAAGTTCACATGTGTTCAGAAAGTTATTACTGTCATTACAAAGAGGATGTCCCAATTTCCCCATTTCCATCCCCAAAAGCAACTAGACCTCTTGACTTTGCAGGACAAGTCCTGGCCTTTCACCTCCTCCAGAGCCCTGCAAGGCATCTCTCCCACGCCTTGCCTAACTCGGGAAAAGCGGGATGAGCACCCGACAGCGATGCTGGAAGAGCAAGCCTTCGGCGGCAGCTCTGACAGATAAATTCACACCACGTTCCCAGTGTGCAAGCAGGGATTGAGGAGGAAAGGTACTGCAGTTCTTCATCTGCTCTGAGTGCTGGTCTCCACCTGCACCCTCCGAGCAGCCGGGTGCTGCCTGTTCCGCTCACCTGCACGTGCTTGAAATTCAATCCTCCCCTCACCTGCTGCAGCCTGAAAAATTTCAGTTCTTGGGTTTCCTGTAAAATTCGTCTTTTTCCCCCCCATAAGAGCCTTAACAAAAAAACCCAAAAGTGTATGGTGTGGCTGGCAGAAGGCACAAGCTGAAACCTGGGTGTTGCTCTGTTAGTTACCGCATCTCCCAGGACATATTCCTGGGGTTTCCAGACCCCAGGAACTCAGCACCACACATACAGATGGTCCCAAAACACTGAATCCTGTCTGAAGTCCCTTAGCACCAGCCAGAGAAGCGGCATGCTCCGACCTGGATACCCACGCGCTTGGCTGTATTTCGATAAAGCCAGATGTACCCAATTTCCTTCCAAAAAGGGACCAGACATCGCCCTGGCACTTGTCTCGGAGGACTCGCTGCCTGAATCCCGCTGAGAACCAAGGCATCTCTCCGTAAACCCCAACTTCATATACAAGTGCCCTCAAAAAGTCATAAAAACGGAATACCAAGCCTCTCAACATGAGCAAGGGCTCCCCAAGGATTCTTAGAGCGTGGATTGTCAAGTTTAGGGGGATGAAAGCGTAGTAAGTCATATCCACGCATACATCTGTCAGTAGAAAGCCACGGTGTTTTATGCTCTGGGAACACTGAGGGGTACCAGCCGGGGCTCGGAGGGAGCAGGAGTCATCGCCCTCACAGTGACAAGCGATATATTGCCTGACACGAAAATCAAGAGAAAAAGTCAAAGTTCAGGCGAGCAGCTCACGGCACAGGGCAGCATCTGGCCCCAGGACGGCAAGGAGAAGCACTTGTGATTATGCAGGAGCCCCTCCGCGGAGCGTCTGCACATTGAGGACCACACGCCGTCGTAAAGAACCAGCACAAGGGAAGCGAAAAGAGGAAGGATTAGCACCTAAGCGCAGCGACTCGGGTAAAAAACACCAATAAGTATTCTGAACCAAAGCAAAAGCAAAGGTAGATGCGCAGCAGGGGTGCAAGCTGCACAGTTCCTCCTCTGTCACTCCATCACAGCTGCTCACCGGGTAAACATAAAACCAGATTCAGAGGAGCTGACCTGAGGACACACTGACGTCAAGGCTTTCTTCTTCTTGAAACAAGAAGAAGAACTGGAAAAGGAGCGTTTGGAGTGAAGGGCTGATAACCTATTCCTGGTAGGAGGAGAAAACGATTCAGAGCCAATCCCCACGAGAATTCCCTGCTTCCAGCTTCGCTCTACACCAGCGCAAGCACATCCCCGGTTCCTAGCGATCCAAGCCCGCAGCCCTGATTCCACAGGCTGAAGGCACGTACTTCCAACGTGAAAGAGCTCTTCAAGGCAGCCCACCCGTACGTGCAGCAGCGATGTCCCTGTCGCTGCTCTGAATGAATCTCGGTGCTGTAAACCAGACCACTCCAGCCCCGCAGACAATACCGGGGCTCAGCGGGGGACGCAGCGATGCCCGGTGGCCTTTTGAGGGTCCCACTGTCTGACCTGGGGCTTGTCATGCAGATCCCCTGTTGAAAAGCCAGCAGCCCTCATGCCCTTGGCTTTTAGCGACAAGCCCAGGGCGCTCTGCTGACCGCACAGTGGGAACGCGGAGCCGGAGACACGGGATGCACAAGGGCGATGGTGCTGGTAGGGGGAGACCACCCAGCTGTCCCCCACATTGTGTGTCTCCATCCGCATCTTGGGTGGGTCACAGCACGTCCCTCCAGCGCTCCCGGGGGTGGAGGACCTATACATAGTGGCGTAGGGGATTTACCTGGGATGGGATCGAGGAAGAAATAATGATTACGAAAACTTCTATAGCTTTACCTACTCCTTAGGATTCGACTCATTTTTACACAGCAAGACCCCTCGCAGGCTGCAACACCCCCTCCCCCCGGGAGGGCACCGGTCAGCAACTCGCACCCTAAGTACAGGTGATTAAACCCCGGAGCAAAGCGATGCTGCGTTTTTTTTCTCCTTAATCTTTCTTGAAAGGTTTAGTTTCTGTAGAAATCTAATCACTACCTGAACCACGACAGGCTGCGAGCCTCCTCCCCGTGCCAAACCCTCCGCAAACGTGGCTTTCACACAACACTCGCTTATTATTTCTGAGGGGAGGTGGCAGCATTCTTCTCCTCTATTTGGCTTTAAAACCCAGCCCAGCCAGACAGGCACCACAACGTCCCTGCGCGGCGTGTATTTTAATCCCAGACCAAAATAATTTAAACACTGTTTTCCTGCTTCTTCTTAGCAAGCCATCTAAAGCTGCTGAAGAAGAGGAAGGCACATCAGTTTGGGGGTAACTCAGTGCCTTTAGATCTTCTTGGGGTGGAAAACAAGCAGCTTGAGACCAATGGATGGACTTTCAGGTCCTTTTTTTTTTTAAAAAAAAAAAACACAACACTTAAGTTCCAATAAAATTAAGTGTGTCCCAGATTTTTGGTATTGCAGAGATGGTATATCTTTGTAACTGGAAATGAATAAGCATTTCTGATGTTTGAAGACACCGATATCCAAACAGACCACAAAGCCAACTTGTTTTGAACGCGTTCCCGTTTACCCTCTGTGCTGCACAGCAAAGCATCAGAGACTGTGACCTGGAGCGTGAGATAACTGAAATAAAGATCAACTGGGAAGACAGGACTGAATGCAAATACATGCCCTTTGCAGTAATTAAAGGGCACCGGCTTTCTAAACTTTGAGTACATCAAATAAAATAACCCACCCAAGTTCAGAGGTCGTGTTCCCCACTGGAGAGAGGGGGGGAAAAAAAGTCAGCTTAGCTATTGAAACGCCTTTGCTGCGAGGCCCTGGGCTGCAAAGAGCACCTCAGCCCCTGACAGCCCACGGTGCTGGCGTTCCCAGGAGAACCCTGCCCAGGCAACGCTGCAAACATCGCGCGTTGAGCTGCTGGCACCGCTTCCTCCGACGCGGGGCTGGGTTTCGGAGGGAACCTCTCCGCACCCAAACGGCGCCTGGCACGGGAGCCGGCAGGACGGCGGCGGCGATGGGGGTAGGGCTGCAGATGAAAGCGCCGGGTCCTGCCGGCTGGCACGCACGTTCCTACCAATGCCACTGCAAGTTGCGGCACGATAAAAAAATGCAGCAGACCTCAACGCCCAGCTCTCCACATGGGGAGGGGAAACCATCTCACATCTATCTCCTTGTGCTCTAAAATACTATTTTCCTGCTCCTTCCAGCGTGAGGACTCAACGCAGCCAAAAGGCAGCGATGGATGCCCCATCCCTGGGAGTGTCCAAGGCCAGGCTGGATGAGGCTTGGAGCAACCTGGTCTAGTGGAAGGTGTCCCTGCCCATGGCAG